AAAATTATTGACACAGAATTTTTCACAATGTATGCAAAATTGTTTACACTTCATTTTTTTAAATTTTTTATAAAACTACTGTTCAGACTACAACAAAAAACAAAAAATTAAAATCTCTAAACTTTGTACAAAGCTCAGGAAAATTTAATAAATTTGTATACATATTTGCAACTTTTAATCAGACTTTTTGCAAAAATTCTAAGAATGCAGTTTTATAGCTCATTCAATTTTATTTGCTAAGAAATTGCGTAGGTTTTTGCACTTTGTTATACCAAAATTGAATGGGCTATAAAACTGCATTCTTAGAATTTTTGCAAAGAGTCTGATTAAAGTTGCAAATATGTATACAAATTTATTAAATTTTCCTGAGCCTTGTACAAAGTTTAGAGATTTTAAATTTTTGTTTTTTGTTGTAGTCTGAACAGTAGTTTCATAAAAAATTTAAAAAAATAAAGAGTAAACAATTTTGCATACATTGTGAAATATTCTGTGTCAATAATTTTGCGCGGCACTGTATATGTACATGAGCTTTTGTAATACCTATTTTTGTGATATCTATTTATTTAAATAAAATTTTCTTATTTAGTTTATAACATTACATTTCATTGCGTTACAAGAGATCATGTACAGACACCTGGTAGAATAAGTTATTTTTTAAATATTCACAAAACTTTTCGTGTTAAATATTTTTTATTTTTAAATGGTTTATGTTATAAAAAACACCTAAATCCAAGTTTCAAACTTTATATTATACTCAGAAAAGTTAAAAAATTTTCATTAAAATTTCAAACTTTATTTATTAAAATTGGAACACAGTCCTATAGTCTATTATTTTTAATATAATAAATTGCCAGTGTGAAGTTGCTAAAAATCCCGTTGATTTTTAATATTTTGTTAGCTGACTGTGCTACACTTTTCCTTGATACATATACATATACCATCATGGTTTCACACTTGCACTTTATTATAGTAAAAAATAATGGACTATAGGACTGTGTACCATTTTTTTTTTTTAGAAAATTGAATAAACTTTGAAATTTTAATGAACATTTCTTAACTTTTCTGAGTATAATATAAAGTTTGAAACTTGGATTTATGTTTTTTTTTATAATATAAACCAGTTAAAAATAAAAAAAATTTAATACAAAAAGCTTTGTGAATATTTACAAATTGATAAGTAAACGCGGACTTATTTTAATACGTGTATACATGTACAAACATATATATATATATATATTTACAGTGGTGGAAGTAATAATAGAAACTTTTTATTTTGACCAGTTTTGGCTATATTACTTTTGTTTATTTAATGTTTAATATTTTTTATAAAAGCCTAGCGCATTATATAACACACACCATATAAATCCACATTTCAA